AAGTGTGCCTGTCCCACCAACTTCTACCTGGGCAGCGACGGCAAAACCTGCGTGTCCAACTGTACAGCCAGCCAGGTGAGCCCCTGCCTGCCTGTTCCTGCCTGTCCCTGCCCATTCCTGCCTGTCTCTGCCTGTCCCTGCTTGTCCCTGCCTGTCCTTGCCTGTCCCTGGCTCCTGTCCCTGCCTGTCCTTGCCTGTCACTGCCCGGCTGTCCCTGCCCATCCCTGCCTGTCCCTGCCTGTCCCCACCCATCCCTACTCATCCCTGCCTGTCCCTGCCTGTCCCTGCCCCCTGTCCCTGTCTGTCCCTGCCTGTTCCTGCCTGTTTCTGCCCTTAGTCTGCGCCCATCCCTGCCCATCCCTGCTCACCTCTGTCCTTCCCTGCCAGTCCCTGCCCATCCCTGCACCCCTGTCCGTATGCTCCCCTGCCTGTCCCTGCTAATCCCTGCCTGTCCCTACCCTCCCCTGCCCATCCCTGCTCACCCCTGTCCTCCCCTACCTGTCCCTGCCTATCCCTGCCTGTCCCTGCCCACTCCTGCCTGTCCCCATCCACTCCTCCTAATCCCTCCTTGTCTCTGCCAGTCTGTGCCCATCCCTGCCCATTCTCTCCTGTCCCCACTGTCCCTGTGCCCCTGTCCCTCCTGCCATGGCCTCCCTCGGGGTTCTGGGGTGCATCAGAGTCTTCCGTGGGTGCAGGCAGCACCTCCCTCCTGTGGCACTCCATGTTTGKGGGAGCYCAGGAGAGCCAGAGATCCTCCAGCTCCTCAAACCTCGGGGTCTGGGTGGGTTTARGGCTTTGCTCCCGGATTTGGGGACACCCAGAGGGGCTGGCACAGGATCAGCGCCCTGAGCTGAGCTCACTGAGGACGAAATCTTTTGGGGCCACCCCAAAACCGCCTCACAAACCCCCTCTCTCCATCAGTTCGTCTGCAAGAACGACAAGTGCATCCCTTTCTGGTGGAAATGCGACACCGAGGACGACTGCGGGGACCGCTCGGACGAGCCAGAGGATTGCCGTGAGTGCCAGGGGGTGACACAGCCCCCCGTGTCCCATGGGTGACAGCCCCGTGGAGGGGAAGGTCACCCCAAAAAAGGGGTGCAGGGAACAGTGGGACACAGCTGGCCCCGTGTTGGGGTTGTCCCGTGGAGCAATGCCTGAGTGTGGAGTTGGGTGCTGGGAATTTGGGGGCAAATGTGGGAATTTAGGGGGGAAAATGTGGGAATTTGGGGGGAAATATGGAAATTTAGGGGAAATGAGGGAATTTGGGGGAAATGAGGGAATTTGGGGGAAATGAGGGAGTTTGGGGAAAAAATATGGGAATTTGGAGGGAAAACGTAGGAATTTCAGGGAAAATGTGGAAATTTATGGGGAAAATGTGGGAATTTGGGGGGAAACGAGGGAGCCTGGGAGAAATGAGGGAATTTGGGGGGGAAATACAGAAATTTGGGGGGAAATTAGGAAGTTTGGAGGAAAAATATGGGAATTTGGGGGAAAATGTGGGGATTTGGGAAGGAAATGTGGGAATTTTGGAGTAAATGTAGGAATTTTGAGGTAAATGTGGGAATTTGGGGGGAAAATACAGGAATTTGGAGGAAAAATACAGAAATTTTGAGAAAAATACAAGAATTTGAGGACCCCAACAGGATCAAGCGGGCGTTTGAGGTTGAGGTTGAGGTTCTAGGGGGTTCTGCCCTAGAAACGTCCCTCGGAGCAAACCTGTGACCCTGTGTTACCCCACAGCTGAGTTCAAGTGCAGACCGGGGCAGTTCCAATGCTCCACCGGGATCTGCACCAACCCCGCCTTCATCTGCGACGGCGACAACGACTGCCAGGACAACTCGGACGAGGCCAACTGCGGTAGGTTCCCCGCGTCCTGGTGACCCCCACAGGGTAGAACTGCTGTTTGTCACCCTCTCTGACCGTGTCACCTCCTCTCCAGACATCCACGTGTGCCTGCCCAGCCAGTTCAAGTGCACCAACACCAACCGCTGCATCCCCGGCATCTTCCGCTGCAACGGGCAGGACAACTGCGGGGACGGCGAGGATGAGAAGGACTGTCGTGAGTGGGGGGCTTGGGGTGTCAAATGGGAGTGGGTATGGGGCAGATTGAGGGTCTTTYTGGGGGTGTTTGGCTCCCTGGGGTGTCCCGGAGCTTTCCCCTGCTCTCTACAGAGTCTCTGTCCCCGTCACCCCCCGTCCCTACAGATGCTGCTGTTTCCATGTTGAAGTGAAATCCTTAAATCCTTAGGAGTGGATTTGGGCTGAGCCAGTTGCCCATTTCAGCGATCTGGTGGCCTCTGTGCTGTCCCACCAGAGCTGGGGGAGTGTTCTGGTGTCATCAGTGGCTCTGCTCCATCCCCTTTACCRAGCTCACCACATTCCTGGAGTATCCACACACCTCTCCACCCCATAGYGGGTTTTTGGGGGAAGTGGTGTCTGGCAGCTCCTCCTGACCCCTCCTCATCCTTCCTGCAGCCGAGGTGACCTGTGCCCCCAACCAGTTCCAGTGTGCCATCACCAAGCGCTGCATCCCCCGTGTCTGGGTGTGTGACCGTGACAACGATTGCGTGGACGGCTCCGATGAACCGGCCAAYTGCAGTAAGGGGGGTGGTATGGGGAGGGGAGGGGGTCTGGCCTGGTGTGAAATGGGGCCATGGTGCCACCGGTCACTTCTGTGTGCCAGCGAGGTGGCAGGTGCCTGCTCAGTCCCTCCCTGGTCCCTCTTTGGTCAC